CAGAGTGTGTATCTCTGTCTACACTTTACACAGACATTACAGAGTATGTATATCTGTCTACACTATACACAGACATTACAGAGTGTGTATCTCTGTTTACACTATACACAGACATTACAATGTATGTTTCTCTGTCTACACTATACACAGACATTACAGAGTGTGTATCTCTGTCCTCACTATACACAGACACTGCAGAGTATGTATCTCTGTCTACACTATACACAGACATTACAATGTATGTTTCTCTGTCTACACTATACACAGACATTACAGAGTATGTTTCTATGACATTTTCGTATGTAAAATAAGTTGCAATTGTGAACCCTCGCAATCATTAATGTGGTATAAAACATGCTACTAAGTTGATAACGTCTTCCTGGTTACGTTGCATAAATTGAGGGCGTGATTGTGAGGTGGAAAAAATAGCGCGTGTGAGCTGTCTTATCCCTGGTACAGATAAAGACAGGTTTCTCTAGTAAAATTGGGAACGAATCTTTGAAATGAAGTGGAAAATAAGGTTGATGAAGAGTACGGCGGAAATGTCAAAAAAATAAATATATTCGATCAAAAAAATATGTATCTACAAATGCCAATATATTTTAACCAACATAATTTAAAATGTTTTGTCGACACTGTTGTTAACGCATGACGCTGATGAAAAGCACGAAACGACCCCTTCTTCAGTACCACTTACAGACCGCTTTGGCGTTATAATGACATAGCGAAATGGTCACATAGTCCTTTTCTTAATGTTAAGTCAATATAAGTAAGTATACTCAGAAGGTTAGGTACGGACTCTTAAAGGGTGGACATGATCGCTATCAAGGCATGGAGCTCATTGGTCTTAAGGTATCTATATCTATTTAAAGCAATCAATTAGGAATGATATCGGTACAAAACTTTACCATTGTAGTCCTTTTCTTAATGTTAAGTCAATATAAGCCACTGTTTTAACAACGAATAGAAGTGTAGTCTTGTGGAAAGATTAGTCGATTTTGTGTATTAATACTGAAATAACCTCAGCATAGTGCATTGTCTTATTTCACTCAGAGGACCTCTTAAGACCAACAAAATGGTAAGTTTGTTTAATTTTATTGCAATTTAATATCTTGTATATATAAATTAATAGCATATACCGGAAACAAACACTGTCTGGCTTACATATGTGAACTATGAACGGCGGTGTGGTATATAATGTTGAAAATGTTAGACTGAGCTTGCCAGATTTCTTGTCTTATTTATAAAATATCAAACACATTCCATTTGTAACTTCACCAAAATAGAAGAAAAATTCGATAACTTAACGAACATAAGTGTTCTTACATGCTTTCTGTTATTTCGTTTTTTGTAATTCCTATATGTAACTAAATATTTATATTTCATTCTTCAAATAAATTCATCGGTGCACAATACTGACATTAGCTGGTATTTGGGGAGGGAAGGGGGCTCTGTCGGCCTGATGTTAGCAACAAAACTGAATCATAAAATCCTTGTTATAGAATAGCCACGTTACAAATACATGTTTGCCTTTTTATGATTCAGCCTGGATTAATCATAAACATGTTCTAGACAACCTATCTTGAATTAATATTCAAACCACTGGTATACTTTACCAACTCTTTTATCACAATAGTTAAAACTTGTTTTCAGCAAAGTGGGATACTTATCTATATTTTGGAGTGAGGTGTTTCTAATATATTAAGTAAGATAGAAATACTATAGTGTTCAGATGTAAAATAAATTACTGATATTCGACCTTATTTGATATTTATGACTATTACCTGTGAAATATATCGGATGTTTTAATTTGATAAAAAGTTATATCTTCACTGCAGTGAAGATATAGTACATTTAATACAGTAAACTTTGCTCCATTGCTTTCCGCCAACATATTCCAGGGTCCGTTCTTCTCTTATTCTTAAGAATTCCTTTGTGTCCTTTCCTCATTTTATTGCCAAACCATTAATGACGTCAACCTTTCTTTGGAGAAATGTGAAGATATACGTCTGACATTGACCAATCAGAACGACTCATTCTATTCATTGCATTCACAGCAGTAGACTTCAATTTCAAACGCAGATGAAGCGAAGGTATTTACGTAACTGTAAAACTGATAACTTTGTTAAGAAATCTTACCAGATATTTGAGTAAGCTATTCAAAATGGCGAGCAGCATTTTTATGAAGCATTACTGTGTTAGAGCCTCTTTAAGGTAATTGGATTGTGTCACCATTTCCCAGTAGAATTCATTCAAATTTTGTAGTTATATTGCTTTGAAGTAAAGAAAATTTTCTACCACAAAAAAAGTATAGGTTGTCAGAATTTTAAGGATTTGAAATGGCAATTTATGTAAAAAGGAGTGAATTTGGGAAAAAAATTGAAAGACACATTTTTTTTCAAAATAATGTCAATAACAATGATACTGACATAGATTAGTATTGCATTAATGTATATCAATTTCATAAATGCTGAAATTGTGTAAAACTCATTATCTATAAACGATTAAATATTGACATTTTATGATAAAACCATATACACATAGTAATGGCATGTATGAGTTATCGTTCTTGAAAAACTTCACAGTGTAGTGAAATAGGTAGCCGGTTTCCTGAAGTACAGAAAAATGAGCACATGTGACTCATTGAAAAAAAAACCACCTGAATTAATGCATGGATTGCTTTGAAATAATTTAATATTGAGAGAACACACTGTTCTGTCAAAAATAAACATACAATATTCATCAGTTTAATATTAAACATTAGAATATGCGGAAATTGTGATACTGTCTCCCTACATTGGAATTTCAACTAAGGAAGTACTTCCTATCTCCGTTTATCAATACACTCCTATGACCTTAAGCGTCACATTGTACTCTACTAACTCCCATTCGGGGAACCCTTGGCACTTTCCCTAAACGAGAAAATTTTACGGATAGTGCCGACGGTTTCCGATATATAACTCCCTCACTTTTTAATGCTGAGATGTTTTCATATAGAACAAGATATGTAATGAAATATATAAAAATAGAGTTATCCTACATTGGTGTTCCACACGGGACAAATGTTGACGTTGTCATATACAAAGATAAGACAAAGTTGATATCAGGTGATGCAGTGTAAGATCTTAAATGTCTAGCCCGAGGGCCAGACATTATAGAATCTTAGCCCGAAGGTTGAGGTTTTTCTAACTTGCTTTTAGACAAGGAAATGTCACACAGGTAGAAATGTGGATACACCTATAGGCTATCCAGGGTAACAAAAGCACGTATATTTGTATACTACATATGTGCTCTCTACGTGGCACGTATATCTTACATACGCAGAGGTGGGGAAATGATGTATTTATTTCCTATATACATGTTTTTATCTAGATAGTTTCACGGGAAACTGTTGTTTACTCGGCTAAAATTGGTTTGAAATGTTTATTTTAAAGGTGTTTCTTATATACGACTTAAGTTAATCCGCAGTTGATCTTGTTTCAGTCCAAGGTAACCAAAGAAGAAAAGACACGTAAGTGTGAAACAGATTAATTTCTTTTTAGAATAAGAGTGGTTTCTCACGTGCAATATTTATAGAATGGTACTATATATCACATCAAAAGTAACATTAACAAAAAGAACCATGAATAATTTATACCATATCGTTAGCAGAATGTATACCGTTTCAAATTGGTTTATACATGTATATTGCTTCTCAAATACAATGTATATTGTTTTCTCATTTTTTTATTTTTTTTCAGTTTTGAGAAAAGTTTTTGATAAATTTGATACAGATGAAACAGGGGCACTAAGTGCAAAAGAATTATCTGAGGCCCTGGCCGCAAATAAAATCTACAAGTCGATAAAGGAAGTCGAACAGATCGTCAAGAAGAGAGATACTGACGGTAAGTCTATTTCTAAATATATCTATAGCAATAAAGTACATTTACAATCTCGGTTTGACGCCTCTCGTTTAAAGGGGCTGGTCGGGGAAAAAATACAAAATACAAAATGCGTTCTCTGTCCTTCCAAAAGTTATACCAGGGCAATATGATGGTCGAGTTCTGCTTGCAATGTCCAGTTTTGACCACTGAAATCTCGGGAAGCCCCCCGTAAATTTAGCGCAGATCTATTTTTATATGTCATTGGTTGTTTCGAAAGTGAGGCAATGAAGATAACAACAATAGCACGCCGTCACGTGCCATGTCGGACTCAACTAGCGGACAAGACAGCAATACTATACGTAAATAATTGTTTTCAAAGGTCATGTATGATGCAAGTGTAGCATTCCTACCTATATGTTGTTGTTATATATAACGGTATTGATACCTCGTGCCTGTCTTTCGCCGCTATGTTTACATTTGGCCTTGTTAATGATGCGCGTGCGGTAAAATTACATTATTGATCTGGGTCAATTGAGAGTTTTAGACTGGCAGGTGACGATTTAGGATTTCTTTGATATAATTATAATTTTTACTCTTAGGGAGTGAATTTCAGCAAAATTTGTATCGGTATATTTCATAAGAATGTATTTTAAACATGTGTATGCCATTTCAGCAAATATGGCATTTTTTCCCCGACTAGCCCCTTTAATCTGGCGCCTCAATTGCCTAAAATCTAGTTCAATTCCTTTTCTTCTCTCCTTTTGTTAAGAATCCCTTTATTTGTTTACTTCATTTTATTGGCAAACCCTTTCATAACGTAAAAATGTCTATGGACAAATAAATGGTGGCATTATAACGAGAATTTATTGTACGACAAATGATATCGGCAAAACATGTTCTTTTATAAGTGTGACAGAGTACATACCGTATCAATCCTAGAAACGTCACAATTAATCCCAAAAACGTCACACAGAAACACTGCATACCGTATTAATCCCAGAAACGTCACACAGAAACACGCATACCGTATTAATCCCAGAAACGCCACACAGTAACACTGCATACCGTATTAATCCTAGAAACGTCACACAGAAACACTGCATACCGTATTAATCCTAGAAACGTCACACAGAAACACTGCATACCGTATTAATCCCAAAAACGTCACACAGAAACACTGCATACCGTATTAATCCTAGAAACGTCACACAGAAACACTGCATACCGTATTAATCCTAGAAACGTCACACAGAAACACTTTAAAGGTTGTGCTACATGATTGTTTGTACAATCCATACTTAACAGTCTGACAAACATGTTTACAAATATTTTCTGGCTGGTTTCAATCGTAATAACATAAAGGTTGATATCAAAATATTGAACGTAGTCTAAGAGTATGTACTGTTTGTACTTTAAATAATGTTGAAGATGAGTTTCATTTTTTGTTGAAATGTCTGTTATTCTGATTTGATTGTTAAATTTTGGAAAAACTACTACGGGAAAAAGCAAATTATGTTTAAAATAATAGAATTATTAAATATACAAACACAAAAGAACTCAAAAGAACTAGTCAATTTGGCCAATTATATAAAAGCGGCATTCATATGCGATTTGCCTATGAATGCCAATTGAAAGCAGTTCACTACCTATGTTTACCATTTTTTTAATCTGTTTATCTTATAAAAAACCATTTACACTTATTTTTCAGCATTTAGTTCGAATATATATGCATCGTGTATGCTTGTTCAATGAATAGAACAGCCATTACCCAGAGACGGTCAGTGGTATCGAAGGTACAAATTATGACGTCATAATAATAATGACGTGAACAATCGGTTAATGACATTCATAGCCTATATGAATGCCAGCTGAATGTGGTAGGGTGATATAGTGGTAATGCCGTACGATGATAAATATATGTATATGGGTACCACCGATATATAAATATTTGTTAAATTCTTAAAATTGACACAAATTTCATTTCAGGAAGTGGTTCTTTGGAGTTCGAAGAATTTTTAGAAGTGTATGAAGATTTACGAAAAACAGCTGGAAATCCACAAACAGAATTAAGAAAAGCATTTGATACATTTGATAAAGACAAGAATGGAGTGCTAAGCAGGGAGGAATTCCGGGAAATCATGATGGTCAAAGGCACCATGAAGTTGACAGAGGTCCAGTTTGACGCACTTATGCGAATGGTTGATAAGAATAACGACGGTAAAATAAGCCCAGAAGGTAATACTCATGTATGATTGTGAAATAATTTCCCTTTATGTAGAGAACTAGAGGCACGGTAGTTTAGTGGTAAGATGCCGGGCTCGTGACCGAAGGGTTGTGGATTCGAGCAAAGGCACGGCACTGCGTTGTATCTTTGAGCAAGATACTTTACTCCGCTTGTTCCAGTTTACTCAGTTGTAAATGAGTACGTGGTTGGGTAGTGCTAGAACTGTTGAATGCTAGCTGTGAGCGCCGAAATTGGAGCATCGGCTGTAGGCTCCGAAGGAAGTTGAGAAAGATATTGGCTGGTCGCAAAGGCCCTATAACGTTGAGACGACCTACGAACTGGTAAATAAAAAACATCGAATTATTATAATTATTATTATTATTGATAAACCATGTACTGTCGCAATCAAATTTGCTGTTGAATGGTATTTTGACAACACAGAAAGTGAAAAGAATTATAAGAAATAAACAAATGCGTCAACCCTAAACAAGATTTTGTATAGCACGTCTACAAAATACATATAGTTCCTAAATTTAAAGGGCCGCATTGGCCGAGTGGTTAAGGCGTCTGACCGTCTATAATCACTAGCCCTCCACAACTGGGTCGCGGGGTTGCTAAAACCTGGCACGTCCGTAACTGTTAATAGGACGTAAAACACAAATAACCAGCCTAGTTTCAAATAAACAAACCGTTTCAATAATTTCATATACTGACGAAATGTTTTTTACTAGTTTAATCTAAAATTGTATCAGTAGGATTTTCTGTAGTATAGTCATGATACTAAGCAAATGTTGTACACTCCATGTACATTGAGGTGAAGGGAATCACCGCATCAGTTTTAAGCGCAAAGAATATCCTTCATCTTTTCGCATTGCAGAGTTATCTGCTCTTGTGAGCAGGTATTGATTGTAACGTCATTAGTTTGTGTGTGAAAATTACGTCGTTTTCTCAAAAATGTATGACGTTACTGTCACAAACAAATGACGTAACAATCAATACCTGCTCACTAGAGCAGAAAACTCTGCAATACGAAACGAGTTCTGACTTCCCCTGTCATCTTTTTATATGCCCTGTGGCCCCTAAACTAGACACTTATGTTGATGCAGAGTTGGTATGACTCCTGTATGGCAATATTGGTAATATTTAATAGTGTATCGACTTTGTAATATACCGGTTCCCAGAAAAACAGTAACTCAGTACTAGGACACAAGTATAGTCTGCCCAATTTAGGAATACTTTCTTTATAAAGAAAAACAGTAACTCAATACTAGGACACAAGTACAGTCTGCCCAATTTAGGAATACTTTCTTTATAAACGGAAACAGAAACTCGAAAATATTGATTAATTATAGTCTGCCCATTTAGGAATACTTTACACAAATACAAAATACACATCGATAATGTGAGGGTCGCAATATCTCTACAGATGGGGTACAGGCGGTTTTTTGTACTCATTCATATCGGTAACTGTTGTGTAGGACGTGTCAGTATTTCCCCACTAATCGTTTCGATAATGTATAAGAGTATCGACACCTGGACTTACGTTTTCACCTTTCACTTCGTTTGCTTTTGTATCCTGTTTGTTGCTGATTTTTGTAAGATTTCTCAGCATGTTTGTCTTAACAAATAGGTACAGACAAATATTCTTATGTACCGAAACTATCGAGTAACGAACCCTCTAGAATTCCTCTATGTGTGTTGTAACTCTTTCACCACTATACACCATAATGAATTCATCAAGATCAATGCATGGTCGAATTTATTAAAGTAAGATAGGGTTGATAGGGTGAGAGTGCCAGTGACCGACTAAAGTCTTAGATTTATCTTAGTAAAAGTCATATAATTATGTTCGTAAAAAAGTTTGATTTGTATATCTAGATGATAAATACTTATAACACATAAATGTTTACTTAAGAATGTTATTAAAGTACTTGTTCGTTTATATTGACTGTGTTTGAATACAGCTGCCGGAATTCACCGGAATTACAACGCTTCTTATTCTAGAACAACTATGATATGCATACAGCACATGTAAATTATTTTGTTAAAGATGAGTTTCTGAAAAGAAAACCATACCTTGGTGTTTTTTTTACGAAAAATAACAGAGATAAAATAAAGCAAACAATATTCGACAACAGCGTTTTTATTGAAAACAGGGGAAAATAGCAATAGGGGAAATAGTCCGGGATTCGAACCATAGACTACAGGTTGTTATGCATGTTCTATCGCGCTAACCGACTAAGCTATAACGTCAACGGAAGTGTATTAGCCCAACAGCTATATCCTTAACGAGATCAAATGGAGGTTACTATACATGTATATGAAAAACAACAGTGCTGTGGGGCAGGGATATTTAAAGTGCAGTGTTCGCGCTATGACGAATCACTGTGTTGTCCTTCTCTCTCCTAGCACGCCTGACCGATTTAAAACGTCACAAGGTTACAGGTAGATATATAGCTTTCTCTTATCCTGGACAGGTGTATCCGCATTTTTACCGTTGTGATATTTTCTTGTCTCACCCTAGGGTTGAGACGGGGGGATTCCCCTATTCCTAACAATGGCATGACGTCACTTTAACACTACAATGAGGTCACGTCAACAATCCATCAACGTCACGTCAACCCTGAATTTAGCATGTAACGTTATCATTACATTGTGCATATGATACACAATAAAAGAACAGGGTAAGAGAAAAGGAATCATTCACCCCCTTGTGGGTGAGATAGTGGAATCTCAACTTGGGGAAAGATTCTTTAGTTGCCAAACACTCGGCAAAGCCTCGTGTTTGGCAACTTAAGAATCCTCCCCCTCGGATTGAGATTCTCCTATCTCACCCCCAAGGGGGTGAAAGATTTTATTAGTATGCTGTACACCAAGGTAAGGAACGAATTGTTACAAATGTCAGCTTTAAAAAACAAATTGAAAAAAATCTTTGGTCTGGGAACTCGTTTTGCCAATAGTCACGTTAAAATACTTAAATTGATTAGAGCGATAGTATAACAATCTGAGGTCCAGGGTTCGAATCCCGGTAGACCCATGCTGCAGTTTTACACTCAGAACACTGTTGTTGATAGCATTTTGTTTGTTCTATCTTTAATATTTCTCATAAAAGTCCCGCACGGTATGACTTTTTTTTCTGAAATGATTTATCAAAGCTGTAGTCATGCCGAAAAAACAGTTTCCAACACTTAGCTACAGTTTTGTCAGTGGTAGGAGGATCCTTAAAGAATCTTTATTATTATTTATTTTTTTGTATTACTATTTTTTTTCCAGAATACATCAATTTCATGTGCCAGTGAGACGAAGAAACGTTACCGTGACCAGTAAGAAGGCTCGACCAATCTGTCGGAAATGAACAAGACATGACTAGGACTGTGACAATTGTTCCCTTGTACTGTCAGTGGTACTACAGACTTCCTAATCCGAGGCCAGACACGAATGGAACGAAGTCACAGTTATACATCACTATTCAACAACTTTCTGTTGATCAAAGTAGTATGTGGAGATAGCGTTTAATGGAGAAGTTTTAACAAAAGTGTTCACTAACGCTTAACTAGACCAAATTATATTGTATTTATTTGCTGCCTTGATTTATCTATAGTTTTATTTTTTTACATCCTCATCCTCATATGATCCAACCAATGGGGATATAGGAATATGTTGTGTCATCTAATATAAACGTATGCTGTGTGTAACACTACGTGTCTCAATTATGACGTCACAATACAGACTATTGGTAGTCTGTCATGAAAAACTTATTGCGAAGACGAAAAATATACATTTTCCAAAGAAATTCGATAAAAACAAATACTTTTGAACTCATTTTCATTTTCTATGAGATCACAACAACGCGCGACTTTTAGGCTTACTTTAGGTTTAAAAATAGTCGTGAAAATAGGCAAACGTATAAAATACTTGTATTTTTTAACCTCATATATACATGTAATTAAACTAAACTTGTATGTTTCATGGGATTTCCTCTATATTTTAAATGAATAAAGTATGTCAAGCCGTGTTCATTTGATCATTTGTTTATTTTCTCACATAAAAGGTATACCGTATACAAGCGGTTTTCACTCTAAGGATCCTATGTCACAGCCAAAATATGTGACCATGCTTTGGATTTATTTAAAGATGAAATTATAAAAAGAGTCAAAAACAATGTTCTTTGGGTTAAAATACAACGGCGTCAGACGAGGATTCGAACCCTGGACTATCTGAACCGGGGACTTAGCTCTAACGAGCTGGTCAATCGTTACTTATTGGCGCGCTACAGTTATATCTAAAACGGAACTAAAGGGAGGTTACTGTAGGTTAGAAAACTACAGTGGAACTCTTTAGTGTTTTGCATGCAGTGGGACAGGGATCCTTAAGTATTTAAGTAGCACGTATTCAGAATGAATCAAGTAACTTATCAGCCACTCATCATTCTATACATGAAAAAACTGTGGTTTTACATGTGGGTTTTACACATGTTAAACCATATATTTATAACATACTTCATGAGTTTAGTTTCACATGGTTTAACGTCCTATTAACACCTTTGTTTAGTTAAGAATCCCCGTAACACTGCCAAATTCTGTAACCAAGTTCTAGGAAAAAAAATCGCCGGCAGAACTATAATTGATAATTCATTTCTGAAAAGAAAATCATGCCGTGCGGGACTGATATGAGAAATAATAAAGATAAAATAAACAAAAAATATTATCAACAACAGTGTTTTGAGAAATTCAGCATTGGTAGAGTGGGATTCGAACCCTAGACCTCAGATTGTTCTACTATCACTCTAACCAGTTAAGTTACCTGGTCAAAGGAAGTGACCAGGCCTAACTGTGCTACAGCTATATATCCAAATAGGGTTACGGTATTTAGGAAAAACCACTGTCCAGTGGGACAGGGATCCTTAAGGACGTGCCTCTATTTGTAAAATGAATGCATGTACATGTATGTGAGCTGGAGGCGATATGTTGGGTATTTGCTTCCTTGCGATAGCGCGGATCTGATGCCGACTTAATAGTGCTATTTCACTGAAAGTCAATGCTGAAAGCGCCAAGCACAGCATTTCTTCTGGTCACAATGTACCGAGTCAGTAAAGTCAGCTGTTAGATTGATATCGAGACAAATCTAAACTACTGTTGAAATAGAAGAGGGCATGCGTGAAATCCCTAAGTTATATTCATTTTAGAAATAAGAGTACGTGTGATCGAGCGGCAGACAACGTTATACATCACTTCAAAACATTCACGACACACTGATCATACACGCAATACATTTGTCGAGTGGAAGTTCTATGTTAAAGTACGGAGCGCATCTCACTCCTGAAAATGCGGAACGTACCAGCGCTTATACTCCTGTGTTATGGTGTCATCTTGCTATTAGCATCTTCCAACTGTTACAAGCATGGCAACCGTCCACTAGACTTTACAAATCGACCTCAAACAGGTTCGTATTTTTATATACAGGTTATTGAAACAATCTGTAATTTACATGAGTATCTGAATGAAATCTAGCATCTATATATCATTAACATATGTGTTACATGTAACCATTGAGGCGTATATTATATTTATATATTTTACCTTCAAGCCGCGGTCACATCTTACGGTCACGCACGTATAGTTGACCGTAGTAGGGGATGACCGTAGTTGACTATAGTCATTTTAACCCTAGTTTAACCGTAGTTCAACGTAGTTGGCCGTATTTACACGTAGTTCACCCTCCTTAAACTTTCTTTATATACTTCAACCTAGTTGACCGTAGTAACATTGCAATGTAGTCTACATCTTACATGAAGACGTCAAAGACTCCCAATTAACACCCGTAATTCATTGTTTTACAGCTAAAGGTCTTGGCGGTTCGAATCCGAGAAATGGAGTATGTTCGTATTGTAAACAAGTAGGCCACTGGTATTGTGTGTACTTCGGATGTGCCAAGTGACGGACAAGGCGGAGGTTTGAGAATAAACATCAAGTTTGTAAACCACTTCATAAGTGTAATCATCAGTGAAATCAACTTTAAAAGAATGGTAAAGAGCGCTAACATCCGGGCCAACAAGAGTGATTAATATAAGTTGTAATAGCTTGTTTCATAATTTTTGTAAAAGAAATAAAGTATTTGTTCATAAATGTTTTAAGAAAAGATCTCTGATAACTTGTATCTTAACATCAACAAAAGCAGAGGTGTTCTGTTCTGATGTTGTTCCGATTAAATCGAATTTTCAACATGTTACTAAACATCACAGCTATTCTATAACACCAGAGGTGTTCCGTTCATATGGTGTTCCGAAAATATTTCACCAACATAAATCAAATTCATCCAACAGCAATAATATTGCACTAACAACAATATACATTCCAACAACAACAATACGCATTCGATCAACAGCAATACACATTTAACCAACATCAATACATTATCCACCAACACAAATTGCACATTCATCCAACATCAATATAAATTCCACCATCTCTAATACATATTCCACAAACACCTTTACACATTCCACCAAGCACAATACACATTCCACCAGGCACAATACATATTCCACCTAGCACAATATACATTCCATGAACAACAATACACGTACCACAAACAACAATACACATTACAACATCACCAATATACATTCAATCTACAATACTACACATTCCATCTACATCAAAACACATTCCTCCAACAACAATTCCATTCCATCTACACCAAAACACATTCCACCAACATCAATACACATCCCACAAACATCAGTACACGTTCCACCAACATCAATACACATCCCACAAACATCAGTACACGTTCCACCAACCTCAATACACATCCCACCAACATCAATACACGTTCCACCAACATCAATACACGTTCCACCACCATCAATAAACATCCCACAAACATTAGTACACGTTCCACCAAGCTCAATACACGTTCCACCACCATCAATAAACATCCCACAAACATTAGTACACGTTCCACCAAAATCAATACACATCCCCCCAACATCAATACCCGTTCCACCAACATCAATACACATCCCACCAACATCAATACACATTCCACCAACATCAATACACATTACACCAACCACAATACACATTCCATCTACACCAAAACACATTACACCAACTCAAATACACAATACACCAACAGCAATACACGTTTCACCAACATCAATACACATTCCACCAACATCATTACACGTTCCACCAACATCAATACACGTTCCACCAACATCAATACACATCCCACCAACATCAATACACGTTCCACCAACATCAATACACGTTCCACCAAGATCAATACACGTTCCACCAACATCAATACACATCCCACCAACATCAATACACATTCCACCAACATCAATACACGTTTCACCAACATCAATACACCTTCCACCAACATCATTACACGTTCCACCAACATCAATACACGTTCCACCAACATCAATACACATTCCACCAACATCATTACACGTTCCACCAACATCAATATACGTTCCACCAACATCAATACACATTCCACCAACATCAATACACGTTTCACCAACATCAATACACGTTTCACCAACATCAATACACGTTCCACCAACATCAACGAAAACACACGTTTTCACCAACAGAAATGATATCTGTTCATATACATGTATACAGTTTTTGATAGTAATAGTGTACCAGCTCATGCCGACGTTAAGTGGTAATTTAAATTACCTCTTATACGTTATTGGGAAATATCCATTTTGTATGATTTGAAGGTGGATGTCTTTGTTACGCTTATTAGGGTGCCTTACTGTTTTGTTTCACTACCGCGGTTCTTGCTTCGAGAACGTACCATCACTCGGATGTAGCCCACCGGATGTACATGGCGGATATCGTCGATGAGGCAGAACACATTTACCCTTCAGGATCACCTGCATTTATTCTCCTTGTACTTTTGCAGGAGTCTCCATGTACCTATTTCCTTCGTTTATAGCTTGCCCTAGTTTTATCAATATGGAGTTGGAATTACTTCGTACTTACTTTGGTATTATTTTTATTATCTTTTTAGATTATATGTTCAAAGTTTCCAGGCGACCAGAATAAATCAAATATCTAGTGTATACTAATGTTCAATGCAAAAGTAGGAATCGATATCCCAATAGTCAGTGTTATGTTTTTGTGACTGCAAAACCGAATGTGCTAACTATGAGATAAGCAGTGTGTAAAAAGCGTTACACCAGGTAGCCCAACACATCAAACGAAATATCCCTGGGTCATTTTTTGTACACCACTAGCTTGTATTTGGCTCCTGTATGTTAATACGGCAATCATGTAAGACAAGTATATATACACTAATATATGTGGCTTATATATGACATTTCGTCTTTTCAAAGCGAAAAGATGAAATGTCATATATAAGCCACCATACTAATACTGCAAGCATACTTTATATCACATTTTTTGTAACTGTTCGACACCTGGGCCCGATCGTTAAAAGTTTGGTTAGCTAAACAAGGTGTGAATATTATATAGTCACTGAACATCTATACAAGCAACTTAAGCTTTAAATTAAAATATTTAAAAAAATACACTGGATTAATATTTTATGTTTGGCAGGTGTTCAATCTTGGCCTGTACAACATAGGTCATAAAGATCGAATGACAATTTTTAAATAAGACATTGCATCCATTTTAGAATTGGTGATATTTTCATAATTATTAAACTAAAACAAAAATATATGCCTGGGGTAAAGCAACGATATTTTTAAACCCATGTTTAACATAAAAGAGCACGACAGTTTTACTAATTAAAGATTGACTGCAATGTAGTTTGATAGGACCGAATCACTGTATTATTTTCTGTAAGACTTTAGTCTATTTTAGGACCAGGAAGTCACGCATGGTGTTTCTTCACAACCTTATACACAGGTAATTTACAAAGCTCAATCTTAATAACATATCATTGTTTATGGGGTTTGTTCAGCAAGGACCATTAACTAGTTACGTCCATAGATAGATATCATCAAATAAAGCTACTGGCTTTTGATGGTAATACCTGTCGAAAATGATCTAAATTTTGACATTTTTATGTCTCTGCAATATAAGATCTAGTCAATATTTTAAACTTGCAAGTTTGATATATCCCATAGGTAGGGACATGTGTCATAACTTGATATTTGATAATTTATGGGGACTATCAATGTGAATATTTTACAATATTATTATCTGTTAAGCTGAATAAACTCAAATGATGTGTTTTTAACAACCTGAGTCGTCACTGAGGACCCATGCAATGGTATTTATACGTGATCCTTATCTTCACGGGGTATACGTATACTCGTATCAACTCAAATGTATTGTTGTTACGACCGGTAACAACAAAATAAAAATAGTAAATATGTAATAAATAATTAATAGCAAATGATATGTAATAAATAATAGGTAAATGATATGTAGTAAATAATATGTAATAAATTATTTATAGCAAATAATATGTAATAAATAATAGGTAAATAATATGTAGTAAATACTATGTAATAAATGCTATGTAATAAATATATAATAAATGATATGTTATAAATAATATGTAATAAGTTATATGTAATAGAAAATAATAAATAATAGGTAATAAATAATTGAATGATTACTACGTAATAAATAATAGAGATGGCAGTGTTTTACCGCATTACCACGAATGGTGTGTTTTAGATATCTGAGACCAGATGACATTGGATGATAAAGTTTAGGACTATGGACGAGTGTCATGGTCACCATCAAAATCTTGCAGCGAAATATGCTATTCCGTCGTGTTATATGAAGATCTATATTTTGGTTATGTTCATGAGATTGCCTTGTGGTTATGTTGTCACGGGCCGAGTTCTATAGAAACGAATACGCCTGCTGTTACCATGCTTTTGTGCCCTCTATACTTGGGGACACAAAAGTGACCAAAAGAAATCCGCTGCACCGATTGCAATATTTGGGATCTTTATATATCTTTCTGCTTCTGTCTACCTTTTCTGTCCTAGCGCCTTGCTTAGCAATACCTCAATTCTGGTTTAACGTTGAGCGTTCGCCGAGGTGAGGAAGGCAATGGGTTCTGTGCCCAGGCCGGGGCATACCAAAGTCCTTAAAAATGGTAGTTATTATTCCTTGCTTAACGTTCAGCTTTTAGGGAAATGGCAACAACTGGTTCACCCGTTGTCCGTATAATGTGATCGGGCGGAACGCTATGCTCGGTGCCTTCGGCAAGGTATTTTAGTGAGATAGCGCGGATCTGGTGCCGACTTCATAGTGCTATCTCACTAAAATACCTTGCCGAAGGCACAAGGAGGCAAGTACACCAACATACCCTGTCTCCGGTACATATACACGCATGCACGCTTACACAACACACATGGAGGAAAGTCCTTAAATAACCTAAGCTGTTAATAGGACTGTTAAACAAAATAAAACCAAACCCATATGAGGACGTGACATTACTTGGATTTGACTTCGATTTACATGGCGGTGTCGTCGATGAAGCATAAAACGCTAACCCTTCCGTAACACCTGGTCTTAATGTAAATCTTTCTTTTGTGCATATTTTGCCCTAGTTTTATCGATTAAGATTTCAAATTACCCTTTATTTGACACTCTGGAACTTCTATATTGTTTGTATGTAATATACGTATTCTGTGCTTTTCTGTGTCTCGATAAAGGATCAGATTGCTCCAAAATGTGACAATCTTGTTTTGTCTACATCGTTTGGATAGTTTCCTTGACCAATATTTCAATTTTGTATAATGCTTATCCTACAATCATACCTCTGTAAAGATTCAGTAGTATATGGGATTTTACCGTTATCATTTTTTATTTGCCTAATATATACTCGTATCATATCACCGGACTTTGATATATACATATACGTATATCACAAAGGGTGAACTAGTGTGAAATACATGGTGGCTGGTTTTAATGAAAGACATATTTATGATCAAACGACACACGCTATCCCAATGTAATGGGAGCATATCAACTGCGTGCCAAACCCTAACTTTGATATAATAGTGCAATGACACAGAGATATGTTATTTAGCAATTGATATAATCAGTACGTGTTGGAAATCTATCCCAAAATAGGCGGATTTAAAACCATCCAATGCTATGAGTAACACTTATCTAGTTAAGGAACATTGTTTTACTTAGATACATCGTGTTGTGACCTTAAGTATCTCGGATGAGTCCTAATTTGACATTAATTCCAAATGTAGCAGTAAAATATTTGATCGATCTGGCTTTCTGCATCTATGGAGACAAGTAGTCTAGTGGTAGGACGCCGAGCCCGTGACACAGTGTTGTATCTTGTTCCAGTCTTGTCCGCTGTAAATGAGTACGTGGATAAGAAGTGCTGGACTTGTGGAATGGTAGTTGTAAGGGCCGAAATGGCAGCACCGGTTGTATGTTCCCCAGGGAGTTGAGAAAGATATTGGCTGGTTGCAAAGGCCCTATAACCACGGATAATAATTTGTGAGCCGCTTTGAGACGCCCTAGTACATATGTTGTGATCAAGCTTAATATAAGAACCTCGAATTAATATCAATAATTATATAGAATCAAAATTTTGAAATAGGTGCTTCATTGTTTGTATTTCTAGTGATTATTCATAACTGACTATCATTGACTGGACATTGCATTAATGACAGATCTGCGTTACAAATGAAATTTTAATCTTGATTTAAGTCAAATATTGGGGATCTGTTGGAAAAATAGTTAAATATATAAAACAAGATATTATTGAACTTTGAAAATGCAAATAAATAAATAGATAAAAAGTGAAATCAGAAAATAAATATCTACATAGAGAGCCATGTAAGAACATTATATCACATTTTCACTATGGAATAAAGGCAAAATGTATTGTCTACCCCTTTCGTTCATTTATTGAACACTTCTTCCAGTTCATTTGATTAAGGTCATGAAAAAGCTGTTACACAATATTTTCATCTTTTTAATTAATTTTTTTTTTTTTTTAAATTGAAAACTTTTAGGAAAATATGAAAACGAAACAACTGAAATCTACATGCGATATTTCATAACATTAAAATTGGTTTTTGCTTTTGATAATTAATACCTATCTAAAATAATCATTAATCTATATAAGATATAATTATTATTATTACGTTTGGTGCTATATATAACATTTGTATCATCATGTACACACATGCATCAAGTTAATAATTAAATATATTGTAAATGTATTATGTACTGTTAAAAAATCTTCAAAAATAATAATAATAATAATAATATTTAACTTGTTTGTGTTACAAAAACTATAAAAACAACAGATCAATCGGTGGTATGCCAACTCAGGTCTATACCAGTTAAGGTTGTTTCCGAAACGTTTAAATAAATTTTCAATGATTTTGACTTAACGGGTTTTTAAAAACAGAATCTATATTATTCGAATTACATCCAGTTTATGTGATTATGGCCATCTAAGCCGTTGTTGCAGTATATTTTTACCTGACGTATTTATTATTTTGAAAACGTTTAGTAAAATACGAAAAAGCGCAACTATAACCACATTCGGTATTTCGTAACATTAATATCAGAGTACGAATGTGTCCTCTTTATTGGCCGTGAGATATATACGTAACACGTGTTATTATTTAAACAAAGCATTTGGAATGTTCTATTGAGTTCATCAAGGTCACAAGTGCACACGTATGTGACGGAAATATCACCACTGTATCACACACGTTCTGTAGACTGGTTGGTTGGCTTTACGATACGCTGTTTATCGTGGTCTTGTGTGGTTGGTTATAGCTATTTTACGATGCTTTATGACATATATCACATGTGTAGCTTTCGACTTCAAGAAAGTCTTATGCAAAGAAAAATAGAAACAACTCCTGCTTTAATGTTAACAAATGTACTCTTTTTGAAAGATAAACGCAACACACAAAAACACAAACATACAACTAACACACAAGAAACAGTTTACCTCTTTATTACTCTTTTTAGCAACAATTTACAAGCATCAATACATGTGGCGCATCAGGGGCTACTCACTCCAACAATTTTACTACCATAACTGCATTAACCTGTATTTATGCTAATATTTTGAATAAGCTAAACTCAGGCGGTATTGAGAGAAGCAGCTAGACTCTAAAAATGTCTCCGGAGAAGCACCTACACAGCACAGAAAAAAGTGAGCAGTAAGACTATGAAAATGTCTCCAGAGAAGCGACTAGACTCTGGTTGTGAACACCCCTAGAGAAGCCATGATGAGAGCAGCTAGACTCATGTGATACTTCAGAAAAGCCGCATCCCCACACTAATATAAAACTATGTTTATATTGGGGTTAATTCCCCTAGAATTTAATAATGAGCCAGTTAAATAAAGCTAGACTAGAACTAAAGCGAGATACATCAGGAAACTGTATGGGAAGCTGCATATATACCAACCTTCCTGAAGTGAGTAGCCCAAACAACCTACAGGAGAGCAATACTACCTGCCACAGGCAAGTATAAATGGTACAAGTAATACTGTCACTTGCTCAACGTTACATTCATTGGGGAAAGAACAGCTACTAATTACAAGGGGGAAAGAAATAAAACTATATTTCATATTGGCAGAACCTAAATGCATATATGATCTTGGCATGAAGCTGGGGATGGTGGGTGGGTACACATAAACAACAGCGGTTCACTGCAGCCTCCCCGGATGAAGGGGGCTGCTACCAATTAAGAGACCCCTATATGGGACAATTTACTGCTCTGCGATTTGTCAATTTTTCATCCACTAATTACCATTCCTTTATTAAATAAATAACCAAACAGCTCATGGTTGTATAAGGGAAATATCATGAGCTGGATATAAACTACATGTATATACAAAACAACGTATAACATTATAACCGCTAAAACAAAAGAGGAGCTGAATACATCGTTGTATATAAACTATAATTTAATATATTGGATATCAAATTATCATTTTAATTTGGTAAAAGATACCTTATGCCAAAAAGTGAGTTACACTGCTTCATACAGCGGTTTTGTCCTTTCAGAAGTCATTAGTAATTGATGTTGCTTCACACTGAAGTCATATTTTAATGGTTAGGTTGTGCACCAAGACAGTTTAATTTCAGCCGGATGGCAAAGTTCAAAATGAGCAATTCAACCACAGTCTGTCACTCCCGAGAAGTTGGCAGTTACCTGGAATTTATTCTGGCCCAGTTGATAAAAAATATTAGTGGTAGAATCCCGTTGGGAACTGTTTTTTTCTGGAATGACTAAAGGTTTGCTTAATAATTTCTGAAAGGAATACCATTCCTTGTAAAACTTTTATGAGAGAAAATAAGATGATGAAATAAACAAATTAGAACTAACTGCGGTGTTTTGAATGTAGCTTGTTACACTGCCGCTCTAACTGACAAGTGTCCTGACCCAACTCTGCTATAGTTATATTAGTCTCGTTCAACCAGATTCTTGTATTCTGCACAAGCTACGCCGAACAGAGAGTCTGGCCAAAGTCTACGATATCGTTTTGTTACGTTAGAACGAAGCGTACTAGAATTATGGTAAACGATTTCATTGGTCAGAGGTAGATACACCCTTTTCAACTTTAAAAAGAAATTGAGTGCCGCGAAATTGCATTGGATATTTTAATTCATGAAAAAACTTACCTGTACATGCATTCCTGAAACATCCTTGTTTTCACTTTTATCGAGAAAATCTCAAAACTGATTGCAAGTATTTTCATTGGATATTTTACAATAATTCATGAAGCTAACAATGCTATTGATACAAGTCAAGTCTAATTACTTGAGTGAGAATCTGTAGTGTTTTGAATGGTGTACAGGTAAAATCTCACTTGTTTCCAACCTCAGTCAGCATTGTTAGCTTTGTGCGCAGATATGATTTATTCAGTGGAAATAAATTGCATTATTCTGGAGATTTGACACATTTTCTTGCATTTTTCTCATCGTTTCCGTTGTTTGTGATGATTTTATATGTCTGACTAATCGACCAGTTATTCTGGAGGTATTTTTGATGTATTGCTATATTACATATGGATAAATCGGTTATGCCCCTTTGTCGTTAACAGGAAAAACAAGTTGATGTATAAGTTATCTGTTTAGCCAATTTTTTTAATGTATGACGTCATAGAGGGTTCTTTCGGTACCCTTCACTTTTTCGTTGTATTCTACATATCATTTCGAACCTTTACATACGGATTCTTTTATTTAAAACCTTTTATTCAACTAATGAGTTCTACATTGACAAAGTTGCGATACGATGCATTAAAAGGATAATCTTGTTTGGCATTCCGCATTTACAAGCAAACATTTCAAAAAGGCAATTCATGGTTTTGTTTTTCTGGCGGTAATCTTTGTTATATCGGCTATGAATGTCGTTGATTGCCATGTTTACCTACCACATTTTTCTATTATTTTTCAACATTACAAAATGTGGTCCTTTCAATGCTAACATACAGAAACATTTAGAGATTTCAAATTTTTCTTTAATCAAAGATAAGCATTTTATTTATCAAGATCACAACAGGTGATAACATAAATCATAATCATGAAAATGCATTAAGATTTCGAAATGTACAAATTAAATCAAAGATAAATATTTCATTTGTCGCGATTACACAAGTGATCACATAAATCACATTCATAAAGATGTATATAGATTTCAAAACGTACAATTTAAATCAAAGAAGAACATATTCAATCAAAATAAGTGAGTTGAAACATTCAGTTAAAAGAGATATGGGACGGAATACGTCTTAAGATTTCAAAATCTACAACTTTAATCAAAGATGAACATATTTAATCAAAATAGGTGAATTGAAACTTAAAGTTAACCCTTTCACAACTGTAGACCATACTGGACTCATCAAGATACATGCATGGTAGTGTCTACTAAAGTAGCATAGGGGTGAAAGGGTTACAAGAAATATTGGTATGCGTATCGTGTGTCTGCAAAATACTAGCGTGGATGTTGATCACTTATATGTAGCGTCCGTTAACCATTTACTCCTCTGCGCATCAAGGCAGTGACGTGGCCATTATCAGAAAACACCAAGGGAATAATTATCACCATTTAATATCACAAACTGACACCGATTGTTTATTTTTTTCCCTCAGCTGGCATATACACATATTGTTGACTACATGTAATAGACGATCAATCATGGTAAATATGATCGCCATTTGTTTGTATAGATGTAGTCAACATTCCCTTGCTAAATCTTCGTCAAAAACACGTTTGTCTTACGTATAAAACATCAAATAAGACTACGTTTAGTTATGGGCCCATTTAGAATTGATCTGTGTTCCGCCTGCAAAGTTTGAATTTTAACAAAAGTACAGGTCACTTCTCCATTTCCAGTAAAATTTCGCAGAATTCTGAAATAGAACAAAGTAATGTCAATTTTGTGTATAATCATATGTACATAATGTAAAGTTGAGTGTATCAAATCCACTATGTTTAATCTTTAAATACAACTGATAGCACAAATGTCTCAGAAGAGGAAAATTGCACAGCCAGAACGGGACTCGAACCCAGCATACCTGAACTCACGAGGCGCTCTCTACCAAATTAACTAACTGGTCACCTGCGATTGACACAGCCCAGTTTAGCTACCTTCCTCCCCCTTTTGTCCATCCTCGATACTCCAAGGATAACGCTCAGTTTCGCTCGCTACACCTCTGTCATAGCAAATTGAAAGGCACGCGGCAGGCTATTTTATTGGTTTCAGGTAAAAGCTCAGGCTGAGGAGCGACACCCGACCTCAAAGCCAGCCCATTTTATCGTTAGGCGACCGACAGATTATGTTCATGTACATCAACGGATCGAACTAGTATTCTTGTATCATCCATAAGCTAGTGCACACTGAACCTTCAATTTTACTATGACATATTCCAGTGATGCAGAGAGCGAAAGTTAGCGTAAACCCTGGGGTATAGAGGACTTTTTGTCTAAGTCTTCACCCCCGAAGAAAACACTGTTCACAACTCAGGTTCAGGTATCCTTTACCAATGGTAAACCCAGTTCTTAAAATAAGAGTCGGTTTCATTAACAACTGGATCACAAGAAGAAAAATGGACGGCCAGACCGAGAGTCGACCCAGAGACCTCCGAAATATACACCGACGCTCAAACCAATTGAGGTACCTGGTCAACTTACCTTCCCAGTTGATTTGTCCGTCATGATCCGTGTCAGCCTCATATACCATGTCATCAGCATCCTCGTCGTCGAGTTTTTCTCCAAGTGTCACCATGATGTGCCGCAAGGTGGCAGCATTTATCATACCTGTGCCTTCTTTGTCAATCATCTTAAATGCACTCCTAAGCTCCGCCTCCTTATCTCGTTCCTTACTCAGCCTCTTTCCACATACAGTAAGAAATGATTTCAAATCTAGCGTGCCTTTCACTTCACTCGCTGTAAGGTATTAGAAATATAATCTTAGATAGTTCACGTCGAAAGCATCCACTTTAAAATGTGTTTGTCATGTTTTTCGTCCTTTTAACAGATATGGTAATTTAAGGACGTGCCAGATTTTGGTGGTGGAGGAATGACGGGGTACTCTGAGAAAAACCACTGACCTGCGACAAGTACCTTGGGATTGTTCCCCGAAGGCAATTTTGAAATTGTATGACATTTATGGAATTTTATATTTCTATGATGGCTTTTTATATCACGTTGAACAGCGTTGATATGATACGGATTTTAAGAATTCTCGTACTACTCACAAAATAGTGATTATGAAATATAAAATAAATCAATAAATAAATATTCTGAGTATAAAATCTACTTGGCCTGGCAAGGATTTCTAATCCTGGACTCTCGAGTTTTGACTGGCCGATTTGCGCTACAGTTATATCCAAAACGAAATCAAGGGGAGGTTACTGCTATTACGAAATATACACTGGAATAGTCTTGTATCTTGCCTGCAGTTGAGCAGGGATTCTCAAAAAATGACAAATTTAGAAACTAGCCGCCTGATACGTTACCATATCTTATAGCAAAAGTTAAAAAAAAAATCGTTTCAACAGTTTAATCGAGTTGTGTCTTACCTAAACTAATGTAAGATATAAGTATGTGTCCTATCATGTAACACGAAGCACTATCATAAATATATGAGTTTGTTAAAACAATTTCTTTCCGTCGCCGGTTATATACATGATAAACATCGGATCTGAATAAACATCATTATAAGATACCTTTAAATGCAGATTTTGGAGGCGATGATGGTGGTTCTCTTTCTTGTTCCTCCTGTTGCTCGGTGGGCGGGTCACCTTCCTCGCCTTCCGCTGGAGCTGGCTTTTGGTCAGGTGGAGGTACCGCTGCAAACAATAGTATTCTTTTCACACTTAGATGTATTATTAAAACACGTTATTAAATGAAGTGAAATGAAACATATGTAACAGAGCGCATGATTAATTAAATCTAAATCACTGCCCCCGCTAGGGATCGAACCCGGGTCCTCTGGCTTACTAGTCTTACGCTCAACCGAACGAGCTAAATAGAAGTTCTCTATAGCCGAGTCGGTAGGAAGTGGCTAGTATTTTACCAGGGTGACACTATAGAAATAGTAAACTTCAAATGAGGACATCGAAATTCCTAATTGGAATCTCATGAAAATGTGAAGAAACTCATAGGAACGAAAAGTATGAACACAGAATATATAAATATATGAGTACATAGTGTCTGATGGTCTTCGAGTTTTTTCGCGTTTTTAGTATGTATGACATACAAAGGGAACTGACTTAAAACGTGAAACACGCGCCTTTGAGTAATGAACGTTAAACACACACACACAGTTGATTGCACCTTAAAACCAGGTAATAAATTCAGTAAGCCAAAAATGAATAACACTGTATCATAAAACTGTTTCGTCCTTCTAGGAATCATCGGTGATGCTCGTAGCCAAAAAGAAATCCGAATTGTCTAAACTACTTTTGAAACCGGCAGTTGCGTAAACACTTTTATTTATGAAACTAAAAATTAAAGGAATACTGGTTAATTTGAAATTAAATAATCTGTAAAAGTATGTTATGAACCAAACTACTTTCCAAAAACGAGAACTGTTGGCATTAAGGTTACAATTAACCTCGGGAACTAAATATAAACCAGCAATGTTTACCGCATTGTTCTTGAAAGATGAACGCAACACACACAGGCGTAGTATCAATCAATGGACGATCCGTACTTTGTATGTTATACACATATAAATGTGCTTTTATACAGTATTCACGTGTTAAAAACCCCACCTTATCAAAAGTGAAAATGACGTTTGCTATCTGAATCCAAAACTTCCTAAATATTATCACGTAAAATAGACAACAAAATATAATGTATCTCAGCGTCAACAAACAAGGACAACATCTGAAATGAGGGAGTTATCGAAAAAAAAATGAAAATACTTCTATGACCCTTATACAGTCGGAAACGAAATGAGAAGCTCAAAATACAGAGTATGCATTTTTAAATAAAAAATCGGGAAAAGTCATTTAACAACATGCGATTAACCTTAGGCAAGGATGTCTCTCACGCTGGCAATTATAAAATATATATCCAAATATACCCATAGAGACGTCAAGTATTTAAAACAAAATACCCTTGTAACATTTGTACGGTTCCGCAACACATCGGGCATTATATATTGACCCTAGACTTTCGAGATGGGTACTCTACTTGGACAATGGACAGTCTGAGGGAGACTCGATGTTTTATCACCCTGTCAAGTGATATGTTAAACCAATCCAACACATTATGCTGTAACATTAATGATGCATCATGATAGAACTCTCACCATTAGATATGGCATTTATTTGTAACACGGTGTCTTCTAGATCTGCTTCGGTAGGTTGATCTCCTAGCGCTCGTAACAAAGTACCAAGATCTTTGAGGGGGATTGTGCCCTTGTCTTCCGTGTCGAACATGCCAAACGCCTCCTTGATTTCTGAAACAGAAACAAATGTCGTTTACCTATAAATGTTGTTTGTTGCGTTTACAATAAGAATAGTATTAAAAAAGGGTGATATCACCTGTGTGTGTAGTATTGTAACACTCTTATGATAACTTTAATTCATAATGCATACGGGAATGTCATACATGCAGTGATTTTCGTCAATTGTTTTGAATCATAATGATTGACAGTGTGTCTACATCTGCTACATGGGATCAATGAATATTTTGGCAAAACGTGATAAACACACTACAACAACACAACATTGCAATATATATATATACCTATTTGAGACGCCATGCCATTGGGGATACTTATGCATAATTCGAATCTACAGCCTTTCTGAAAGCAATTGCAAAATATTACCTATGTAGGTGTACATTGTATTAGCAGTGATCACTCGGGTTTCGCGATTTAAATTATACCTGTTCTCACAAGGTTTTAATGAAAGGTTTCTGACCCATTTCATAATATATTTTCGCTTCGCTGTACAAGTACATCCTCCCCCCCCCCCCCCCCCCCCCTGCAATGTTTCAGTATGCATATGCAATATCTGCATAAACCTTTAAATATTCTCTGTAACTATTCTCTGTAACACTGTTGACAGATTCCTGGTACTGTAAAAATGGAATTTATTTGCGATTTGCTAGTGATTGTGTTGTTTTGCGTTGAGGAAATTAGCGCAAATATATCCACGCGCGAAAAAAATATAAAAGATAGCATATGGATCATAGACATATAGAACATAAACATGGCAGAACCATAGCCTCCCAGCGGTCGGTTTAAAGAGACGCAACAAGAATATTTCCACATACAAGGGTTTCCACATTAAAGCCATATGCTCGGTTGCCGAACAACATCAGCGTCGCTCTAGCACTTTCTCGTTAATGATGCGGATCTATTGCAATTAATCGCAGATTTATCAACAAATGCTGCCAAAGTATTTAAGGAACACATAGGCAGACATAAGCTATAGACGAAGAACCTTATTCGTTTATTTTTTGCCTAAGTATATCAATTTTTTATCTATAGGAAATCCTTTGACTGTTTAATTCACTTTCAGTCAAAACTTACTGTACAGAATTATATACTTAAAACTGACAGATTTTCTAAAACTGAATAATATGACATGTAAACTATACATATCTTACCCCCAACCACCTTACTCTAAGGAAGTTTAAACTATTGTTATCCATTAATTATTGGTATATCTATATGCGTGTGATGCGTGTATGAATGGTGTTATCATGTACTGAATATATTAGTTGCTGTTTAGTATACTTGGTGATAGGTTTACATAAGTGTCTGTGACACTTGCTTCTATTTCCCTTTGTCTTCTCTGTTCACTGTAATAACATGCTTGAACTGAAATGAAAGAAAGTTTAAACTAAAACTAATTGCATTTCGGTTCTTTAATTTAGATTAAAATGCAATGACATGAGCTACAGTACAAACCTTCCAGTTTGTCTTCATCCAGTAGGTCCGCCTGAAACATAGCAAGAATTGTACGTTAAAAGACATTAGGAGCAGAACGAACTGATGACAGCGGGAACTACAAACAATTTGCATTATTGATTTGACTAAGATTCGTTTTAATTGTGCTAATAACTGCTGAAAAAAGGCTTCCTGACATTGTACTGATAAAACCGTTCTCAAGCTCAAACATGGATTATGTGTAAACATTTTTTTCTTATCCACTTAAATCATGTACCCTAGTAGAAAAGTCAAGTGTAAACATTTTAAACGATGTTCGGTTTTAAGCCTCTCCACAGTTTCTCCAAATCATTGGCAAAATGTGATATTTTTTTTTACTAAGTTACTGTTCCACCGAAACAGAAAACTTGTCAGAAAATGTTTTAACATGAGACTTGCTTCATTACAAACGGCCCCCTGGAAACTATCGAAAAAAAAACCCAGGTGTCAACAAAAATCAAAAACTCCAAATCGATAACGATAAACCAGGGCAAAATTATGAACAAGAAAACGTTAACATCAAGACACTTGAAAACTTAAGAGAAGAATAAGACCAGATGCATTTCACAGGCTTAGACAATAACTATTCAGTTCTCATAACCTGTGTATGTTTGTATTCCAGAACGTAGACTAACTTTAGATTAAACTTTATCTTATTATCGATATAATATTCCAGACTAACTTTAAAGTCGGGTGTAAGAGGTATTTAACTTAGCAATTAATGCAATATTAAAGAAATTCGACTTTTCGACTCCTCATGGAAATGCTGTTTTGACGAATCCAGATTTAACGGTGACAATAGTTATCACATAAATATTAAATGACAATCAATACTGAGACTGGCCGTGGTTCAGTTTCGGGAAGAGGTGAACATTGACGGTCGTAAATAACCTTGTTTACATTGACGATTTCGGTCGTTAATAACCTTGTTTACATTGACGATTTCGGTCGTAAATAACCTTGTTTACATTGACGATTTCGGTCGTAAATAACCTTGTTTGATAATTAAAGGTATTCAATGACTGCGTTAAGTATTTTGCGACCATAAATTGAGTTAAGTCTTCATAATAGAAGTATATTTCATCGTTTATATAAAAATACATTTCTGTATAAAATAATCACTTCTAAAAGCAAAATCGGGTTCTTACTCCGTCTAATTGCATTGAAAGCATTGCGTTCATTTAAAGAAAGAGATTATGACCTTTTTTTATTTAACGGGTTTCACATTTGTATTATCGGAGTTTTATAAGAGATATTCTATAAAGTATGTCAATAGCGGTGCTATAGATATCCTTACCAAAGGACACCCACACTGAGAAATTCACAAATGATCTTTCATTAATGCTAATTTAGTTATGTTATATATTGATGACTATTTGAAAGGAGAATTATAAGTGAATTGAAAAGCAAAATATTTTTGACATTTTTGAATATGGATATACAGAATGTTAAAGGCTCATAAGTTAAAGCACAGAAAACAGGCAAAATATGAATGGCACTTTTTTTGTAGTTCATTGTTGATCTGAAGTAAATATAGATAGGTTTTCTATTGATGAGTGTGTTAAATATTTCGTCGTTTGACATACGCTGAATTGAGGAATCTGCGTCGAGATGATATCATAATTTAATTGCAGTTATCCAGAGTACTCGAATGGTTACACACATTTTCTGTTTGTAAAACATTGTATACACTGACAGGCTTGGGTGACATACGGTGAGAAAGTACCATTATACATTCTGTACGAACCCGTATTCCAGCATATTTGTTTTAAAAGACTAATATATACACGTTCACTGACACGATCAAGTTACAACATATGACTGTTAAGGTAAATTAAGGATCGCCGTACCACTGCCACAAACTGAAACTATACATTGGAAACTGTTTTTCTCCGGGTACTCAGGTTTCCCCTCACATTAAGACCCCGCGAGCTAACAACCGTGCCAAGAAGAGTGATAAAAATATAAGTTGGAATAAGTTGTTTGATAATTGTTGTAAAATAACTGAAGTTTTAATTTATGTAACTGTTTTTTTGGCATTACTAGAGCTTTGATAAATCGCTTTTGAAAAGACATTCATGCCCTGAAGGGCTTAAATGAAAAATAATAAAGATGAGTTAAATAAAACCTAATCAACAACAGTGTTCTTCTGTGAGTAAAAATCCAGTGGGGCTTGACCGGGATTCGAACCTCGGATCTCTGAATGCTATACTATTGGTACCCGGTATACACTGGTTACCTATTGAACGGAAGTGTGCTGGTCCAAATGTGTTACAGTTATATCTTAAACGAAACTAAAGGGAGGTTACTGTATATACCAAAAATCACAGTACAGTGGGCCGGGGATCCTTAAACATGTCAGTTCAAAGGGCATTGACTGAGTTTAACAGATATAGGCGTTTAAAGAATCTTTACAAACGATATGTACATTAATTTCGGCTGTTTTGTTCCTTTACTGGAGTGAGCGTATATAGCCACGCTTTGTTTACATGTCATTAATGCCAAAACATCGTCTGGACCTGTGAGTCATATCAATACATCTCATGTGATATATCCACAACATCGTTTTGATATATATACATATTTTTAAAATTCTTTGGTCGAATTATATTGTTGAATTTGATTGAAGAGCAGGGTACAAGTCTTCCATCGCGAACAATCTGAACACTCTATTCAGCCTATAGACTTTTACACCTTTTAAAAGGATCCCCGTACCACTGTCGAAAACTGTATTCACGTGTTGAAAAGTGTTTTTCCCCGCATTACTTATGAAAAGAAATATATATATATATATTACTAAATGTTTATGATTTTTTTTTATTGAAAAAATGCAACAGGTTCAGGTCTGACACATGTCACCGTAATCTAATCAACTAGGTTACTTGGTAAACAAGTGTATCCTAACCCTGTCCCACTACAGTAAGAACCAAAACAAAATAAATGGGGTGCCACTGTCGGCACGAACAGTATCATTGATGATAAGAAAAGTATATGTTACAATTTGAGAAAATCGATTGTAAATACGCCCTGTGATAAAAGAGTCTGGCATTCGTTTCCCTTCATATTAGATATATGATACTCGTTTAGAGGCTTGCAAAAATGGAAAATTCAAAATCCATGTAATAAATCTGATACGAAGGGAAAGTCATGACAGATCCTATATATATCAATATGCAAGTACAAGGTCAGCACATGGGTGTTTCAACATCGTATAGCCGGTAAGATTGTCCAGACTAAAGTTAATAAGATTAAAGACGGTCAGAGTGTCGGAGTGGTACTCACTAATGCTGTGTGTATATATAGAAAAGTCACGACCGATTGTTATATTTAATAGGATTTAGTTTTAATCGCCTTTTAACCAGACCACAAACGAAGCCTCTTCGCTGTCTTAGTCTTTCCAACAGTAATGTCAGGGCTTAATATTGTCAACGACATTCCTGTGAGTCAAAGAGCAGTGCATAACCTAGCTAACATAAATATTAGCTATTACTCATGTGTGATGTAGACAGAGAAGTCTCAAATCAAGGGTTAGATTTTTTGTAGCTAGCATGAGGCTTTGCCGAATGCTAAACTTCAAAAATCTTATCCTGGTGATTGAGATTTTCCCTGTCTGTATTACTCAGGAGTCATTGATTTTTGTATCCCATACTTTCCTATAGCTCTGTAAAGCGTTGTAATGGTGAACGTATTGCACCCCGCCATCATCAAGGGTTTGGGGTTGGGGGTTGAAGGGCGAAAGATGTGACACAATTGATGACACTTCCCTGGTAACACTGCATAAACTGATGACGCGATGTTGACATTTTCAGAATAAAATAATGTGTGAACTGTTTTTATCTGGCATGCAAAGACAGGTTAATCGTTTCCCTCAGAAATATTAGAATGCACATGTAAAGTGTGGGATAGACATATAACTGACCCTCCTTAAATGACCAAAGCTGGTAATAGGACGTAGAACTCAAACACACAAGCAAACATTCAAGGGAAGCATCTATATACGACAATACTGTTACATGTTCATTGCTTTGTTATGAAACCTGAGTACCTTCATTATCCTGTAGCATGGGCTCAAATGCTTTCTTACTAAGTAAGTAATTCTCACATATCATTCTCGATCATTTATTTAGATTGTGTTCGTAGACCAAGTAATCTCACAATAACTAGGACTGACTGTTTTCACAGATTCTATCACTGCTATTACATTCTAAACGAATGACCGTAGACTACTGCTATGTAATTGACACTGATAAGTGTATTTGTAAATATCATACATATGTATCAATGCTTGTACAAAATGTACCACGATTAACAAGACGGATACTTCTGACACATTCAATATAAATAATACACAGACATATTCAAGAACATTTAGAATAAAATATACTTCGATCTACCCTAAAAATAAGAAAGTTTTGACTTACCATGTTGATATCTGTATCCTGTTTTCGCCGTCTACAGAGTAAGTAGGCACTTTAAATAAGAATGCATAACTATATATGTATATATATACAAGTGACTACGTGATCGCCGGTCTGCGGATTGTGTAGTGTAGGTTCACTGGATACAAGACAATGGACGCAGAAGATATTCTACTAGACCATTGTTAGTCGGTTCTATACAAATATCTATCATTATGCTACGGCGAAATGTATGGAAGCCTTAAAATACCACCCTTGGGTACAGAGTTGGTAACGTACAATATATTTTGTCTATAGCTGATGGAGATTTATTCGCCATTTTGTCCTTGACTTTGTGACTACGCATGGCCAACAATGGACGATATATATAGCCATATGTTAGTAACCCTTTATATAACATTATCTGACTACGTACCAAGAATAAGCTTCGTGTTAATCTTTCTTCCTACCACAACCTACGCATGATGAGTTGTAAGTGGAAAGTAACTGCTTTTACCGGGAAATTTACCCTACAGTTTTGATGTTCGCCTTTTTCGCCCTCATTATCATTACAGCGAATATAAATAAACAGTAAAAGAAACATAGCCATTAAATGTGAGTAAAATTAACACTGGGCGAAAATTAATTGCATGAGCGAAGATTTAAACTATGACTGCGCAAAAGTTCCCCGGTATGCAGTATGCAAAAGGTTTAAATTTATTATTGAAGATTCTTTAATTTAACAATCGATTATGAAAATAATGGTTTTTGTTTTTTAGAATAATGATACAATATCAACTATCAGTAAAGTGGTGATACAGAATAGTTTTTTTCTGTCTGAAATTTTAAAAATATCAACAGTTAAATCCTCCTTCCAAACCAACGCAGTGTACATACCGTAACGGAATAAACTTTCACTACAATACATAACAGTGAAATCATCCTCATAAAACACCGTTGTGCAAGTTCCCTCACAAAATACTGGAAGCCTTGTCCGATACAACAAGTAATACCGACCATGTGAAAGCATACTAGTGCAACAGAAGAGAAAAAATGCATAGCCAGACCGGGGTTCGAACCCCCGACCCTCCGAACTCTAGACAGACACTCTACTGATTGCGCTGCCTGGTCGCCAACGATCGACCCAGTCCAGTTCCGCTACACTTGTTAAGAGACTGAAGTGTCTTAAAACACAGATCAAGTATTATCGTGGCAACCCTTGATGTAAACATCAATTTTTTATACCTATTACCATGTGAAATAAATCTAAATGTGTAAAGGAGACTTAAAGGAAACCTTGAAGCCCCTAGTTGGACAACAATGATGATGCAAAGAGACGGCTAATATGTGAAACCAAATATAACCCTTTTTCTTTAAATCGAAGAGAAAAAAAATGTGTCCAAATATGTCCCAGAAGTAAGGTGTCAGGTGGCAAAGTGGATAGCGCACTTGCCTTTCACCAAGGCGACCGGGGTTCGATTCCCTGATCGGACGTGAAAAGGTATTGGGTCATCTGGCCGACCACGCGGGTTTTCTCCTGTTACTGCGGTTTCCCTCCAACACTAAGACTCCTAGCACGCTTACATTCAGTCCAACATACGTGATTCGTATCAGTTAACATAACTTGCTTCACTATGTAAGGTTTATATCGTAGTAAAGGAGCAACAGGACAGTTGTCGTCAATGATAAATATGTACACGTTGTATATTGAGTACTTTGACGGCGATCGGTGGACATTGGGTTAGTCACGTTCAATCAGACGCTTGATCACTTGTAATTCGCGTAGCTTGCGTAGACAACAAGAGTCTGGTTGAACGAGACTATAAATTGCTTTGCATACACGTGTTCCGTTGTTCCGTAGTCGTTACATTGAGGGTGGACGCCGCCCGCCCTGCCGTATATAATTACAGTGGCCATATTGTTATCAGTACCTATCAATTATTGAAACCAATACCCAATAACAGTAAATTCTGAAGTGTATAAAAAATATACAGTGAAAAGGGAAGAATGTTTTATATATAGTTATCATTTAGTATAACAGGTTTTATTGAAAACCAATACAAAAGCTCGCTAGGAGGTAGTTCTGTTCACCCTTTGTCTGTCCAAAGTCGCCATTCCCTTAACAAAGTAATGCACAGGAAATATAGTGCCGGCGTTCATGACTAATTACAACATTTGGTAATTAAAAACCGAAACATACAGTGGCCCAGCATTTCCTTCGAGATTGGTTTTATATTACTTGAATAATAAATATCATCGACAAAAATATCCAACAGAGAAATATAGGGTTCAGGGATTATACCACAAAATTCAGATACAGTTAAGTTTTGCGCCCAGGTATAGACAAAGGTTCAGTTAATAAGAGCTTCCAGGCATACAATGACAATACAAATACAGTTATAAAGAGGTCCCGGTCATATATCAGGGTACAGTATGAAAAAGACCAGATCACACATTAATGAAGAGGAGGCACAGAAAACACATCAAAATACAGTTATTAAGGAGCCTCGGGTACACATCCTATTAGTACTACAATGTATCTAAAGGACCTAGACATACTTTTGAAACTGTTAATTACGGGACACACGAGTACATAAGGCAAAATATATGTGAAGGACCTAGACATCCACACATAGTGATGTAGAGGCCCCATGTCATAATACAGTTATATTGTAGACACGGGCGTACATTAGAATACTAATGTAGAGTACATAGCCATTCATTATGAAACATGTTATGATACATTATTTCCTTCGATATTGGTTTGATATAACTTAGGGCCAAGGGAATGTACACTGTACTGATGTAGAGGGCCCAGGCATTTTATCATCAATGTACGTATGTAGAGGCCCAGGGCATACATCGGGATATTGGTATGTAGGGGCCAAGGGCTCACATCGGGATATAGTACTGTAATGTAGAGGCCCACGGCTAACAACGGGATACAGTTACACTGTATGTAGAAGCCCCGGGCATACATTGGGATATTGTTATGTAGAGGCCCAGGGCATACATCGGGATACTGTAACATTGTACATGTATGTAAAGGCCAGGGCATACATCGGGATAGTACTGTTATGTAGAGGTCCACGGCTAACAACGGGATACAGTTACACTGTATGTAGTAGCCCCGGGCATACATCGGGATATTGTTATGTAGAGGCCCAGGGCATACATCGGGATATTACTGTTATGTAGAGGCCCACAGCTCACAACGGGATACAGTTACACTGTATGTAGACGCCACGGGCATACATCGGGATATACTGTTATGTAGAGGACCAGAGCTCACATCGGGTTACAGTAATAGTGTACATGTATATAGAGGCCCAGGGCATACATCGGGATAATACTGTTATGTAGAGGCCCACGGCTCACAACGGGATACAGTAACACTGTATGTAGAAGCCCCGGGAATACATCGGGATATTGTTATGTAGAGGCCCAGGGCCTACATCGGGATAGTACTATTATCTATGGGCCCACGGCTCACAACGGGATACAGTTACACTGTATGTAGAAGCCCCGGGAATACATTGAGATATTGGTATGTAGAGGCCCAGGGCATACATCGGGATACTGTTATGTAGGGGCCCACTGCTCACAACGGGATACAGTTACACTGTATGTAGACGCCCCGGGCATACATCGGGATATACTGTTATGTAGAGGACCAGAGCTCACATCGGGTTACAGTAACAGTGTACATGTATGTAGAGGCCCAGGGCATACATCGGGATACAGTTATGTAGAGGCCCAGAGCTCACATCGGGATACTGTTACATTGTATGTAAAGACCCCGGGCATACATCGGTATATGCTGTTATGTTGAGGACCAGAGCGCACATCGGGGTTACAGTAACATTGTACATGTATGTAGAGGCCCAGGGCATACATACGAAAACTGTTATGTAGAGGCACATAGCTCACATCGGGACACTGTTACATTGAGACCCCGGGCATACATCAATATTCAGTTACATTGTATGTAGAGACCCGGGGCATACATCAGGATGTAGGTCTATAGAGGCCCTGGCCATACCCTGGATACTGTTATGTAAAGGCCAAGGGCATACATCGATATACAGTTCCATTGTTATGTGAGGCCCAAAGCATACATCGAGATACAGTTATGTTGAAACCCCGGACACATATCGGGATACATTTATAAAGAGGACCCGGGCATACAAGATTACAGTTACATTGTATGGTAAGGCCTTGGGCATGCATCGGGATACTGTTATGTAGAGACCCCAGGCATACATCGGTATGCGGTTATGTAAAGGTCCCGGACATACATCGGGCTACAGTTACATTGTATGTAGAGGTCCCGGGCCTACATCAGGATACAGTGATATAGAGACCCCGGGGATGCTACGAGATAAAATTGTTGTGGCCCCTGGGATACATCGGGATACAGTTATATAGGGCCCCGGGCAAACATCGAGATACATTTGCATTATATGAAAAGGCCCCGGGCATACATCTGGATACTGTTATGTGCAGACCCCGGGCATACATCGGTATGCGGTAACATTGTATGTAGAGGCCCGGGGCATACATCGAGATAATGTTATGTAGAGGTCCCATGCACATATAGGGACACAGTTATATAGAGGTCCCGGGCATACATCGAGATACAGCTACTGTATATAGAGGTCCCGTGCACATATCGGGATACAGTTATATAGAGGCCCGGGCATACATCGATATAAAGTTATGTAGAGGTCCCGTGCACATATCGGGATACAGTTATATAGAGTCCCCGGACATACATTGGGATACATTAACATTGTGATGTAGAGGCCCGGGGCATACATACATGATACACAGTTATGTAGAGGTCCCGGACACACATCTGGATATAGTTACATGTACATGTATGTAGAGGCCCAGAGCTCACAACAGGATATAGTTACATATAGTATGTAGAGGCACTGGGCATACATCGGGATACTGTTATGTAAAGCCCCGGGTACACATCGGGATACTGTTATGTAAAGCCCCGGGCACACATCGGGATACAGTAGCATTGTATGTAGAGGCCCCGGGATAATGTTTTGTTGAGGCCCCTGATAGACAATGGGATACAGTAACGGACGTCCGGGGCTCACATCAGGATACTGTTTAATAGACGCACCGGGAATACAATGGGATACATTAATGTAGAGGCCCTGGGCATACAATAGGATACCGTAATGTAGAGTTCCCGGTCATACAATGAGAAACCGTAA